CGTCGTAGACATATATATATATATATATATATATATATATATATATATAACTTTGGCAATTCTGCGGTTTTTTTGTTTGTTTGTTTGTTTGTTTCTGTGCGATTTAATTTTACTTTCTGTTTTGCGTTTGGGGGGTTGAGACGGATTTGTCTTTGATCCCTCGGTCTTCTGCCTTGCATACATTGCCACTGGGAAGGAAACAGCAAAAGTGACAAGGAAGAGAGAGAGAGAGAAATAAGAATAATAAAAAAGGAACCATGTCAGGAAAGCTCCGCCTTTACAAGGATAAACTTGAGGGGTACAATCGTTTTTATTCGATTGTAAAAACGATTAAAATGGTTACCCTCGCCAAATATCGGACTGCTCAAAGTCGTGTTAAGACTCGGGACTTTACACTTCGCTATACAGAAAAGGCTTTCAGTAAGCCTGAGCTCGCCGAGAGAGACGCCGTAGCCTCCGCAAAGAACTCTATTGTTTATATTCCTATTACCACGAATCGAGGCTCCTGTGGAGCTTTGAACAGCAATACTGTTCGTTGTATTGACCTTGTTATGTCAAACAAGATGCTGCTGATGCCCATTGGAAAGCGGGGAATTGATTCCTTTTCAAAACTTTACCCCACAGAGTTTAAATATGGAATTGCCAATGATATGAAGGAACCAATGCATTTTGCATATGCGACATTTATTTTTGAAAACGCCCTCAACGTTGCACCGGAGGCGGACCGTTTTCAGATTATTTTTCATCGCTTTGTCTCTGCAGGGGTCCAGAAACATGCCGTGTATAATATTCCTTCTTATGAAACATGGAAGGAGGACATCGCTGACGCCGCTAGTACTGACAATCAAAAGAGCCGCTACCTTTTTGCCAACGCCGTGCAAAATGAGGAGGAGCAGTTTATCCGAGATTTCTACGACTTTCATGCGTCGCTTGCAATTCTTAACGCTGTAGCAGAAAACGAGCTCTCGGAGCAAGCTGCAAGGCTGGTGGCAGTTGAAGGTCAGTTGACAAACATCAGCAGCTTGAAGCAGCGAACAAGCTCCTTGTACAACAAGACTCGACAGTCTGGCATTACTGCGGCTTTGATTGAGATTCTCTCAGCCATGAGCTCTTTGGAGGGGAACGCCGCAAGGGGTGTTCAGCGCACCAACTTCTGGGAAGGGTCGAAAATGAAGTAGGATACGAAGAGGTGTTTCAGTAGGTGTGGATAAATTTAGTGGAAGCGAGACTTAGGTAGGTGGCGCTGGAAGACAGTGCCAGAGCGTTTCTGTTTTTATTACTTTGGCATGTTTTTGTGTGGAGGTTTGGGCTTTATTTATTTATTATTATTGTTTTGCGTTTTGAGCATTTATTGGCTACCGTTGGTTTGCAAGATACATATGTCTATTTCTGCACTTGCTGGTGTTTCCTGCCGTGTGTTATCTGACTGGTTTCTTCTGGCGGCTGTTTTTCTTTTCTTTTGTTTGTTCTTGCTGCCCCCGCTCCTTCTGCTCGCACCTAAAGGAGTGTCCCAAATGAAGCTTAACATCGCCTACCCGCGGAATGGCACTGTAAAGCAGTTTGATGTGACCGACGAGGTTCTCCGCCGCATTAACCTGAACGATTACCGCCTGGGCAACGAGGTTAATGGTGAAATTTTTGGCGATGAGTTTAAGGGCTACACGTTTAAGCTTCGCGGCGGGTCTGACAAAGATGGATTCCCCATGGTGCAGGGTGTGATGGCTTCCAGCCGCGTTTCCCTCCTTGTTAAACGTGGCGCCGTTGGCTTCAACACCTTTCGCGGGTACCAAGGTGAGCGCCGTCGCAAGTCTCTTCGTGGATGCGTATTGGCCAACGATATTGCCGTTCTTAACGTCACTGTGGAGAAAACCGGTATGCAGCCAATTGAGGGCGTGACAGACACTTCTCTTCCGCGTCGTCTGGGGCCTAAGCGTGCGAACAACATTCGTAAGCTCTTTGGCCTCTCCCGCGATGACGATGTCCGTAAGTACGTTGTTCGCCGCAAGGTGTCAAAGGAGGGTAAGAAGGACAGGTTTAAGGCACCAAAGATTCAGCGTCTCATCACGTCCACGATCAGAGCTCGCCGCGCCAAGAAAGCCAAGCTAGCAGTAGAGAAGGTGCGTCAGTCAGCACAAGAACGTCGGGAATATTTGCGACTGATTGGTATCCGTCGTCGTGCCGCTCGTCAGCGCAAAACTGCCCGTCTGCATGCGCATAAGGCTGCCGCTCAAAAGACGGAGGTCACTGTCTTCAAGGGGAAAAAGTAAGGTCTTTTTTTTTGGGCACTTTGTGTTTTGTTTTTATTTCATGTTTCTTTCTTTTATTACCACTCACTGTATATATATGCTCGTTTAAGCGTGTGGAATTATGTTGCTTTTTTTGTGTTTCTCCATAACGTTTCAAACGGTTAGCTCCACTTTGTTGGTCTCTTTTTTTTTTTTTTTGTGCAGCCATTTTATTTTGCTCGTAAAATCTTACAGGAAAAATGAGTTTTAAAAACGCCGCCGTATTGGCCGGGGCTATGGTTGCCGTTATCGCCACTGGGGCCGTTGCCTCTGGGGTCGTATCTTGTGCTGAAGTGTACCCCCAATCAGCCGCTTTCTTTGGTTCGATGGGTTGCGCCTCCGCATTGATTTTTGCAAATCTGGGCTCGGCCTACGGGACAGCGAAGTCTGGTGTCGGCGTGGCTCACCTTGGCATCCTTCATGCTGAGCGGATCATGCGTGGTATCGTGCCCGTTGTCATGGCAGGTATTCTTGGCATCTATGGCCTGATTGTTTCCGTGATCATTAACAACAATATCAAGACGGAGACGCAGTCGTACTCTGCATTTTCTGGTTACCTTCACTTTGGTGCCGGACTGGCCGCAGGTTTGTCCTCGCTAGCTGCAGGTCTTTCCATTGGTATCGCAGGTGACGCGTCGGTTCGTGCTTACGGTAAACAAGAAAAGATTTTTGTGGCCATGATTCTTATGCTTATTTTTGCTGAAGCACTGGGGCTGTACGGACTCATTATTGCGCTTCTCATGAACAATACAGCCAACAAGGTGAATTATGGCGCTTGCCAGTAGGAGGTGTTTAAGGGGTAACAGTAATTTTAGGACCTGGTGGAGTAAAACGCGGAACAACAATAGAAGAAAACAAAAAGAGGAGGATGAAGAAGAAAAAGGATGGTGAATGCCTATGGTGTCACTTTGTTTTTGTTTGTATTTATTTTATTTGTCTGTCTTTCTGTCTGTGTGCTGTTTCAGTCCGCTCTGATTGTGTTCTTGTGTTGTTTGCTGCCTCCTGTATTTTAATTGATGGTGGCGTTGTGCATTTTTTTTTTATTTTGTGTTGTTGTTGTTGCCGCTGCTGCTGATGTCCTTGTTTTTGTTTTCCCCCTCCCTTGTAGTTGCTGTCGCAAATGCTACGGGACCGTATTATGCGTGAAATGAGGCATCACGCCGCCAATGCTGCCCCATTTCTGCTGCTCGCTGGGTTGTTTCTGATTGTTGCCCTTCCAGCGGTAAAACCGAGGCACAACTTTGTTGATGAAAGTGCCGTCAATATTGGGAGAATTCCGATCTTGATTACGAGCTCGGACGTGACCCATCGCGATGCCACGATACACCAGTATCACCGTGTTGTTCGCGGCCACCGTTCTGTGGGGTCGGAAACTATTGCCGTTTACGTCAATGCTGCAGAGAGGTCATCAGTGATACTGGCAAACCTTATAATACTTGCTCTACAAAGGAGAGAGAATATGGCCTGTGATACACATATTTACTTTGTCAATGAAAGTACGTCACATTGGCCTATCCCTGACACCTTTGTTCGTGCAGCTCTGTTTATCAATGTTTCCTCTTTAAATACACATAACCTGTGCTTTGGTGTGTATGGTAAGAATGGAATGCAACCCAATCAGGATCTCTTGAATGTCGCGGTCACGATAGCCCAAGAGTGGTTTTTGCACGTGGATCTTCTTTGCCAGCATCCGCACATTTCATATTCTGCGACACGTTCAAAGTATGAACATTATTTTGCTGCACTACAAACAGCTTTACTTGCTCCGCAACGACCTCAACCATGGTATTCGTTTAGGACACATGGCATAAGTTTGTTGGCTATTGGAACGGACAAATCTAATGGGTTATATGACGCTTCAGTTGCATACCGCGTTGCCGCACTACATGATCAACTTATTGGGACATTGAGTTATCTGGACGAACGCTTTCACCACTCTACATCTGTATGGGTGCCTCTGAGTGCCACTGAGTATGTGGAGTATGATATTGCACAGTTTGGTATTATTTTGCTTGTGGCATCACTGCTCTCAGTGGGATATTCCATTTATGAGGTGGAGGGTCTGTCTCTCTCTCCATGCGTTGCGTTGATTTTGGTGGCACCTTTTCTTGCCTTAAATGCAACCAAGTTGTTTGGACATTGGGGAATGGTTTTGTGTAGCGGCTTGTTTGTGATTGCGTGGAGCGCGTGTAGTTGGGACTTGTCTTGGTTGACAGTAAATGCCATCATGTTGTGTCTTCTTATAATGCTTCAGCCTGGGGCAGGTCTTCTTGTCGGTTCTGGAGTTTCTGTGCAGCTTGCTTTTCTTCACGTGAAATTTCAGAGGCCCCTTACGCTATTGCTGGGTACACTCGCTTCATGGGCTGTGTTTCACTTCTGTGTAGGGGTGCTCAACATCCAGCATGATGACATGGACACAATAGGGGGTATTTATCTCTTTTTTTTCGTGTACCCAAACGCACTCTGGGTGTCGAGCCGCTTGGTCAGGTGTGTTTTGTCACGGTTGCGGCATCAATGGATCTCGGCGTAGAACAGATGATCTTTATCATTTTTTGTTCTTTTCATTCTTTATTTCACTCTCTTTTTCCTTGGTCTATGCATATGAATGTATATGTACGTATACATTTCTGCTCCATGTGGTTGTTGTATTCTCTGTCCAGTTGCTGGCTGCGTCAATCCAGACTAATATATATATATATATATGTATACACCCAAATCTTTTTTTATTTTTCCACGTGATTGTCTTTCTTTAGCCGCTTGCAAGTCATTATGGCAAAACGTACCGTTAAGATGGGCGTCATGGGACGCTATGGAGCCCGCTATGGCGCCAACCCACGTAAGCGCGCCAAGAAGCTTGAGGTGTCGCAGCACGCGAAGCACTTCTGCTCCTTCTGCGGTAAGTTTGCCTTTCGCCGTAAGGCTGTGGGCATTTGGCGCTGCGACGGCTGCAGCAAGACCATGGCGGGGGGCGCCTACACGTTGAGCACACCGAACAACAGCACTGTCCGCTCCACGGTTCGTCGCCTTCGTGAGCTCAAGTAAGGCAAATAATTTTATTTACTTTTCTTTTTTTAATTATTTGCTTTATCTGTTGCTGCTCTTACACAACGGTGCAGCCACCCTGAAGAAAAAGGGGAAGGCGAGACGTCTATTGACTTCTCCGAAAGGGAATAAAACTTTGTGGCACGTCTTGAGTGTGTCATCAACTCATGTCTGCAGTGTTATGTTTTTATATGTTTTTTGTTTCTGTCCACTTGCGTCTTTGCAGTAAGATTACCAATGTTTTCTTCCAAAACAGAGTATGACAGGGGTGTGAATACCTTCAGCCCCGAGGGACGAATCTTCCAGATTGAGTACGCGATCGAGGCCATCAAGCTGGGAAGCACGAGTCTTGGCATCCAAACCCCTGATGCGGTTATTATTGCCGCGGAAAAGCGGGTGCCCTCTGTATTGGTTGATCCTTCCAGTATGAACAAGATTTTAGAGATCGACTACCACATGGGTACGGTACTGAGCGGCATGGTGGCGGATGCGCGAATTCTGGTCGAGCATGCTCGTGTGGAAGCGCAGAATCACCGTTTCACTTATGACGAGCCAATGCGCGTTGAATCGTGCGCGTTGGCCACATGTGATTTATCGATCCGGTTTGGTGAAGGTGGGGGAGGCAAGAAGTTGATGTCCAGGCCATTTGGCGTTTCCCTCCTCATTGCCGGTGTCGATGAAAACGGTCCCCAGCTTTGGCAAACGGACCCTAGCGGCACTTACACCCGCTACGATGCGCAAGCAATTGGTGCTGGTGCTGAAGCTGCCCAAACTGTTTTTAATGAACGCTATCACCGCAATATGACTGTTGAGGAGGCCGAAAATCTGGCAGTGCAGATCTTGAAACAAGTGATGGAAGAGGAGCTGACCAAAAGCAACATTGAAATTGCTATTGTCTCTGTCTCCACGGGAAAGTTGGACATATATGATCAGGAGCGAATTCAACGAATCATTGAACGTCTCAAGGAAGAGTAACGGTGGCGCACGCTCTTCATTGGTCATGTTCTCCTTTTTTTCCGGCTTCTGTTTTTTTTTTTCTTACTTTTACTGCACGATGCCCCAATATGAAATGAGATGGACATTTTTGTTGAATTTTATGCTCGTTTTGTTTTTCTCTGAATAGTTCTTGTTTTCTTCTTTGTACACATGTGTGCGTGTGTGCTGCTGTTGTGCTTAAAATATTCTTACTCTTGCTGTGGGCATATGCTCGACCGGCCGCATGAAATTCCTTTGCTACACGACCTCTGCTTTTTACACACTTTAGGGAAGAGAGCTCTCGAACGCATTGATGATTAATACACTAAACACCGACACAGCAAAAGATGATGGGGCCCAGCAACCGATGAATTGCGGTGAATCAGAAAAAAGTAAACGCGTTTCAAGCGCTGTGCAGTTTCTTCACGACTCTCGTGTGAAGTTCACGCCAGCAGCAAATAAGATAAAGTTTTTAAAGACGAAGGGCCTCACCGCAGAGGAGATCTGCGAGGCCTTTGAGAAGGCAGGGCAAACAACCTCACTGGATGAAATCAAAAAGGCAATGCATGCCCCATCGTTTGGGCGGACTAGGCCGGCGGTAGTAAACTCAGCTCCAGCGTCAGGGAATGGGGGAAGCGAGGCAGGCTATGCGCTGCGGCAGAATCCCATGCCAACCTACGCTGGACCGCTTTATGCACCACAGCCACCACCTTTTCCCCCCATGCCTCAAGAGTCAAAGGGAATCGACTGGAGGGATGTTGTTATTGGTGTGGGCGCTGCATTACTTGGTGGCATTGGCGCCTTTAAGGCATTTCAAACTTACTCCCCGTATGAAATTCGACGCAAAGATGAGAGCGCCAATCAGGGAGCGCGAGGTGAAGTGCGGCGGCGGGGCAAGAGGGACGAAGAGCATGCGTCATCCAACAGGGAAGCGGGGTATCCGGTATCCCCTTTCCGCAGCGTGGCAGCCAGCCCACCTGCAACACTCCCACCGCTGCCCGCCACCACGCCGACAGCGGCGGCAAACACGCCTGCTGAGACAACTGAAGGAGATGCCCGGGACCTTCAGACGGAATTGAAAGAAACCCAAGAGGCTCTGGAAAAGGAAAAGAAGAGCAAAGCAGAGCTTTCACTTACATGTGGCAAGCTACGAGCGCAGCTTAACAACTCTTTGAGGAAGAACGAAAAACTGGAATTGAGGGTTAAAACTCTCCAAGAAGAACTTGACAAGGCGCAGGACGTGGCAAGCAGCCAGAAGGAACCGTGTGAGACTGTCACTAGTGTTGCGGATAATGTGCCAGACCCTCAACAGGATATTGATGTGCAACCCAATGACCCACTTCTTTCGCCTCCCGGAGTTCCAACGGACACTGTAGACTCTGCTCCACCTGAGCCGAAGGAAGTGCCCGTGACAACAGTCACTGAGGGCGTTGAGGGGGAGGTAACATTGTGACGGATAAGTCCGTAATAATCGAAAGGGGAAAATACATCAAGCTTTGCCACAATGACTATGCCCGCTGCTTTGTGTGTGTGTGTGTGTGTGTGTGTGTGTAACTGGGATACGTTTGGTCGTGGGAAGGGAACGACCACATATAAACAACTGTAGATTTTAGGTCTTCAATTCTACCTATTTTGTGTTCTCTATTTTTTATTTCTGCCCTGTCTTGCCTGTCCCCTTTTAACTTTGTTTGCTCTCTTGAGCTATACGGGTCGTTTTTTTTTTTTTTTTTAAAGAAGCATTTGTAGACACTTGTGGGTGTGCGCTGAACGTCGATCCTGAAAATGTCTAAAATAATTCTGCCCTTGGAGTCTAAGTTGTTATCATCATCTAATCTCAGAAATGACCTTGACATGGAGTCTCATGAGACGCGGAGGCAGCTGCCAGCGATGGATATAAAGAAATTTTTTGCTCTCGAGACGGCCTCGGGAAAAAGTGGTTCCAGTAACATGGAGATTGAAGGGAACAGTGAGCGTAGCCCTGCAGGGGGAGGAGTCTGTTACAATGATGACATGTTGGTTTCTCCGTTAAAGAATCCTGCTTTCACGTCGTCATCCGAGACTCACCGGAGTGTTTCAGTTTCTCGTACAAAAGCGGATGATATGCATTTGGACAACATGGAAGATGCAGTAGAGGGAGAAGAGTGGAAACCACCAGTTTGCGATCGAAATGATACTTTTTATATGTTTTCTGGTGACGAGGGAGAGAGATTTTCCTCTATTCATGTACCCCATGCCCCTGTCGTTATTCCACCGGAGAACACATCCATAGATTGTGCTGGCAACCATCAGACTGTAAAAGCCAGCGAGCCTTTGCTTGTTGCGGCAGGTGTTCCTGTTGGGGGATCTATGCATCATCCTCTGCACTCGCCCCAGGGACGCAAAGATTGTTTGGTAGAACTTTATTATAGAGGGGTTAAAACACGAAATAAATTAGAAGAGAAGTGGGCCACCATACGTGCTGCCCGGGAAAATGCGTTTAAGGCGTATTCGTTTCAACCAACAATCACAAAACGGGCCAAGGCAATTCCACGTCGTGGGAACATCCCTAGGTGTTCCAAGCATGATACTCGCCTTTGTCAACATCTTCTTCTTGAGGCATGGAAGCCGGAAGCTGATGGGCAGTGTCAGCCCATCCCCACGATTTCCAAAGGTTCCGAGCGCATAGTGCGTCGGGTGAGGGGCAACAGCGCAACTGTGATTCCTGTGGAGGAGCGATTACATTTGGATTCGGCTCGACGTCGGTATCGAATGGAAGAGGAGGCGGTGAAGCCGCAGATTTCTTTGGTTAAGCGCACTCCAGATGATATTAAGGCGCATATTGATCGTCTTTACATGTACGAGGCAAGGCGTCAGTTGGCGCTGCATAAGCTGCGGGAAGAGCTGGATGCGGGTCGTTGTCAAGCATCATTGCATGTAAACGGCGAGGATGTCGTTGGGCGGCTTGTTAAGCCGATGGAAAAGACACGATGTAGGCATTCCATGGATGAGGAAGAATTGTGTTTTGCACCTCAACTTTCTTCCGGAACGGAGGAGTTAAGTCTCCGCGCGCGAAGGCGGCGAGTAGACGAGTGGTACATGTTTTTTACTCGGAGGCGCCATGAAGATGCCTTTTTACCGAATGCGGTTGCCGAAAAGATACGTGAGGCACTGCGGCAAGCAGATTTGTCAAGGGATTTTTCCAGAACTGCCTTTGGCTTGGCCCTCGATGAGTACGAAAAAAAACATGGAGCACAGCTGTGGCACTTAACGCCGCCGCCCCTTGCGCCCACACCGAACGAGGAATTAACGTTTGCGCCAAGGATCAACAACTGCAGGAGGTCGCAGGAGTCTGCGCAGACGGCACACGAGCGGTTGTTTTCCGCGGCAAAAAAACAACAGCTGGCAGTAAAAGAAGAGGAGGAGCGAGTACGGCTGGAAGATGTCTTGAAGGAGAGGAGACGAAAAGAAAAACAGCAGCGGCAGGGACGGCAAGCAAGGGCCTTGTCTGCGAAAAAAACGAAATTGTTAGAAAAACCAGGCAGTACGGAGGAGGAAGGAAGAAGTTCTCCATCCTTGTTACCTCCAAGTGACTCTCCACCGAGTATTGCAGATGCGTCAGACGAGTGTGAGGTCTTCGTTGTGTCACCGACATCAGATACCTCTGGTCCATCTGATTCTACTTCGCTGCCAGTTGAGGTGCCAACAATGTCTGCATTCTCGCATGTTTTGGATGCTGCGAAGCAGTTGCAGAATTTAATCGATGCGCCAGAGGAGGGAGAAGAAAACAGCATGTCATCATTTTCCCCTCGACGAGAGGAGGCTTCTTTTGTGGAGTGTCCCGAGCCGGTTTTGCTTGGTGATACGCCTCAGGTGGCGGCCGCCCCTCCTGAGTCTTCAGCTTCGAGAGTTTGTGGAAGCAAAAGCCGTGCACTCAAGAAGATGCGTGTGTCTACGGACATCTTGCTAGAGTGTGCGCTAAGTCGCCTCACCTGGTCCGCAGACGTAGCCACGCGGCGGCGCGAGTGGAGGGAGAGTCGACGTCGTCTGCAGGGAGTTGGAAAAATGCTTTATCAGAAGATGTAGCTTGCATCTCCGTTTTTTTTTTTTTTTGCTTTGCACTAGCTGGGGTGGCGCGAGGTGTTCTGGCACTCTGACGGAGTGGATTGGCAGTGGCGGTTTGACGGTGCTTATGGTGGTGGTTGTCTTTATTTTTCGGATGTTGCTGCTGCGTTGTTCACATTCAATGAATTATTGTTATTATCTCACTTTCTTTCAGTGTGTGTGTGTGTGTGTGTGTGTGTGTTTTCTTGTTGTTCCCTGCCGAAGTGAGCGACATTGCATTGACTAGAGAAAGAAAGCACGAAGGAGGGGGAAGGAAAATAGTAATAATAATAATATTAATAAAATGGTTACCGTGGCAGAAATGGAGGCGCGGATTCGCTCAAGTTTAGAGCCCACCTCATGTGTGGTGACCGCCATAAGCGAAGAGGACCGCAAGTACAGTGTGACAATTGTGTCTCACACGTTCAAAGATATTCCGCTTATTAGGCGGCATAGAATGGTAAATGACTTGTTTAAAGATGAACTTTTGTCAGGGGACATCCATGCGCTAACAATTGTTGCAAGCCCTCCTCAGTGAATGATTATGCTATATTCAGCTGACGCTATATGAAGAGACTGCGGCGTTCCGCCTCTCTCCCCCTCTTCCTCTCATTTGATTCCAGGTTTCCGTGTCCTCTGCATATGGAGTGTCGCTTCTGCTTTTGTGCGGGTGAGGTTGGGGAGGCGGGTAGGTTTAAAGCCTGCGGCCGCTGCGCTGCAAGGGTGGTTCCCTTCTGTGAGGAGCTGGTGCGTCAAGTTGATGGCGTATTAGCAAACCAAAGTTGGAGTGTGGAGGTTGTCACTGATGAAAAAGACTGGCTTTTAGCCTTGGCTTCAGCCGTGAAGGAAGCCGAGTTGTCTGACGAGGGTAGACGTGCCATAGTGTTTGCCCTGCGCTGCCGAAAGGGAGATATCACCACCTTTACATTCATGGACCGAATGTCTGTCCTTGCCGCTGCTAGTGCAGCAGTTGCTCGTCTCCTGACCTCACCTAAGAGAGCTAAGCCTTCAGTGAAACAGAACCAATAACATGCATGGTCCCCTGTTTGCACGTGTTTGGGTGTTTGTCCGGCCGTATTTTGTAGGTATCGGTTTGTGCTAATAATGGCGGCTGCTACTTCCACGGGCGTAATTTGTGTTTTCCATTTAAAGCAGGGATTATGGTTGTTCTGGCAGCCTGATTTTTTGCTTTTGTTATTGTTTCTTTGTTCTCATCTTTCTCCCTGCACTTTTTTTTTTTTACGTTGCTTTTTCAATTCTTGTTGAACTCACCCGTCGACGTTGCCCAGCAAAGGGACTCAGAATGGTGAAGCCGGTCATCCTGAAGAGCGTCGTGAAGAAGCGCACGAAGAAGTTCACGCGCCACAAGTGCGAGGCCTTCCCGCAGCTGAGCAGCAGCTGGCGCAAGCCCCGGGGTGAGGACTCGCCGGTGCGCCGCCGCTACAAGGGACAGAAGGCCATGCCCAACAAGGGCTACGGTAGCGACCGCAAGACGAAGTACATCACGCCATCGGGATTCAAGAACTTCCCCATTAACAACGTGAAGGACCTCTACATGCTGCTCATGCAGAACCGCAAGTACGCAGGCGTCATCTCCCACACCGTGGGTGCCAAGTCGCGCAAGGCTATTGTGCGCAAGGCTCATGAACTGGATGTACGTCTCATCAACGGAAACGCCAAGCTCCGTCGCGTTGAGAACCACTGAGTTTCTTTCTTGGACTGATTTGTTCATTTATTTATGAATATATTTTCCACACACCTAATATCTGGAAACATGCATCCATAAACATGAGGTATTTTTTTGCTACACGTCATTCATTTCTAACTTTACGTCATTGCAAAGTATATACGTATAAATATGCACTTTTTCCCGTTTTTTTTTGTTTCGTCTCTTTGGGTGTGTCTATTGAGTTTTTGTGAAAGAATTGAGGCAGTCAAAGATGCCCTTTGTTGACCATAAGAACTATAAGATCCAGCGGGAGGAGATGCCCGCAGTTCCTCACTTTTCCGACTTTAATGACCCAAGGTTCTGCTTTACGCACAACAAGCAGAAAAATGGTATTCTTGCATACTACCAGTGGCTTCACTGCATTGGCAACTGGGGCGAGGAGCACTCCATGTGCAAGAAAATGCGCTGGTATCTCGAGCGAATGATGCACGAGTCGTGGCTGGAGAAGTGGGAAGAGAAGCGTGCCTTAGGACACTTTGATCATGTTATCCTCTACGGTGTAAAGCCATGGAAGGAGTTTGAGCCCTTGTATCAGCCGGTGAAAACGAATCGTAAGGGTGCCTACGAGTTCTGGCTGGATCGCGACTTTGAGCCCCTGTACGACGCGGATGCCGCAGATTTCCGTGAAAAGGCCCCCATCCTTCATGACGTCTTTGTGAAAGGCAAGGTGCCTATTTATGATGAGTAGGAGGACTTGGGAGGCAAAGCAAAACAAAAAGGGGGAAAAAGGTAGCAGAAGACAAACTCTCAACGAGATGGGAGGAAATGAAGGGAATAGAAGAAAAGGAAAGAAAACAAAAACAAACAAGTGAGAGAATATATTGATTAGGAAAAAATCACATGTCTTTTAGTTTAGTTTTGGCAAGGCATGGGGGATGAACATCTCTGTAGGAATGGGTACGCTAGTAGGACGTGTCACTCTTTGGATGGAGTTGCACTGGGGAATTGTGTGTCTTCATTGTTAGTATTGGCAAGAAGATAAATGTGCCTGCAGAAACAGTGGTAACAGTGATATTATAAATTTGCAGCTGAACAGACACACTACCACCTCTTTCTCCTTCTCTTTCTCTTTGGACTTTGTTTGACGCGCAAGGGGTATTACAAGAGTTCACGAATATTTTTATTCCGTTTATTATTTTGTTGTTGTTGTTGTCCTTCGGTTGCATTCATTTTGTTTGAATTATGGCTGAGTCCGCGTATGGCCTGACAACTTTCAGCCCTTCCGGGAGGCTTGTGCAGATTGAGTACGCAACCACGGCAGCGGGTAAAGGCACAACCGCCCTGGGCGTCAAGGCGGTGGATGGAGTAGTAATCGCTGCAGAAAAGAAGACGACGTCTCCTCTTGCTGACTCATTGACGGTGCAAAAGGTATTTGTTCTTGATGACCACGTTGGCTGCACGTACAGTGGAATTGGACCTGATTGCAGGGTGCTTGTCGACGCTGCCCGAAAAGCGTGTCAAAGGTACCGTTTGACGTACCATGAGCCGATGCCGGTTAGCCAACTTGTTCGTCAAATAAGTTTCCTTTACCAGGAATTTACGCAATCTGGTGGGGTTAGACCCTTTGGCTGCTCGCTCCTTGTCGCTGGGGCCGATTGCCAGGGCAACCATCTCTATCAGTTGGACCCCAGTGGCACCTTTTGGGCGTGGAAGGCCACCTCAATTGGCAAGGGAAGCACGGATGCCAAAACTTTTTTGGAGAAACGCTACACAAATGAAATGGAAATGGAGGATGCCGTGCACACAGCCCTCTTGACTTTGAAGGAGGGCTTTGATGGCACGATGACGGCAGAGAACACGCAGGTAGGACGGGTAAGTGAGGGAAAGTTTGAGATCTTCACTGTGGAGCAACTGAAGGACTACTTGGACCAGATTTAGTGTCATGAGTGGAGTCTGTTGTTTGGATGGGTGAACATTTGTCACTTTCTTTTACCTGCTCCCGCCCCTTTTATGAGAATGTTGTTGCTTGCAATGACAGAAAGAAAGGAAATGAAAGGAAAAGGAAAGGGGGTAAGACGTTGAATGAATGGAAAAGCAGGAAGAAAATCGCATCAAAGCGAGTTCGGCAAAGAAAAAGGAAACAACTGAGCGACAGTCGACATGTTGAGAATTATTTATTGTTAAGTGCATGCATCCTCTTCACAAGTACAAAAGTGCTTGTGTGTGTACGCATGCGTGCGTGTCTGGGAGGCCACTGTGGTGCTAATGTTTGTTTGTTTGTTTTTTGTATGTATCTGTGCTTGTTGCTCGTGTAGTAGAAAACTTATGATTCGAAAGACACTAGCATTATGGGATTCATCGATGATCATGCAGTGCCTCAAGAAGAAATTGCGGGCACGATGTGTGGTGGATTGCAGTGGAAAAAGGTTTTTTACAAAGCAGGAGTTTCTCACTCTATGCACGACAAATCCCTATGCGCCTATTAATGAACGCATGACTACAGTTGAGGCGGCGCGCTACCTGGAGCAGCTTCAACAGGCGCGGGAGGTGATAGTAATGGGTGAATATGTGTATATTAGACCTTCTGATGTCGTAAACGCTGTATATCACAGGCTACAGCTTCCTACTCTCTCTCGAAGAACCCCTACCTACATGCAGCAACGCGCCACCCAAGAACTCTTTGCTGTTTCCACCAAAGATAAAAATGGTATAGTATTTCGTCGTGATTTTTGGGCGATTGTGTCCTTACTTAGTGGGGCACAAATGACACTTTTAGCGTATCTGACATTTGTCGTGTACGGTTGGGATGTCATGGAGCCTGTTTGTTATTTTGTGACGACCTTCACGGTGTTGTGCACCTACGCTTACTCTCTTGTATGGCGAAGAGCTTGCACCTTTCACGCCGTCGAGGATCATCTATTTCCATCAAATGTAGCGTCTGAGGGTCACGGCAGCTCCATCGTCAGACAAAATTATTTGGACAGTCCAACAGCCTCTGCGGGCAGAAGTCCTTCGGGGTCTGCCTCCTGGGATGACGAAGAGCTTGCCGAGTTGCTTGAAAACTTTGATTTCACCGCTTCTGTTGCCGCTGGGGCTATAAACGAGACAAAGTGAAGGATGTGCTTCCGCGGTGAATGCCGCTCTTTCTCCATCAGCTTTCTCTTACTCTCTTCCTTCCCGCCTCTCTGTCTGTCTGGAGTTTTTTTTTTTTTGTATTCTCTGTCCTCTGAGTGTGAGTTTGCTTTCAGTTGTTGCTCTTTGGCCTTTTTTTTTGTGTAGCGTGGCGCAGCTTTGCAGACGTTTTGTTCTGGGTCATTCTGATTGGCGCCCTTTTTTTTTTGTTTGTTTGTTTGTTTGTTCCCTCTTCGTAGCTCTTGTTCCGCGCTCATACCGTCGATGTGGACTGTGCACGAAGATGAGTACAAGAGCACCGACGTCAAAGCTCCCGGAGTTCTTCAAGGCGGGTGGAATGTTGATGACGACAAGACAGCGAAACCGATAGGCATCTACACGAAAAGTTCTCAGGTATTCGCCACACCCTCCATGACTCCTACTGACCCCACGCCACTGAATAAACACAAACATAACTCAAAAATATCTTGGACGCGTACTCACACACCTGTTAGTTTTCCTGTATCAAACAACCTGTTTAGTTCGCCTCAAGCCGCAACTTCTGCTCCGCCAAGTATAATGCGAGTTGATGCCCCACCGTTTGAGCCGTCGCCGAAGAACGTGGCTGCAACCGTGTCGTATGCTGCTTTATCGCCCATGGGAAAGCGGGGGATGACACCCACACAGATACTGAAAGTCAATGCTCCTGGGAATAGCAACCCACACATGCTCATGACGATGGAAGATGTTGTGAGCAGAGAGAAAGACAGGGGTGCTGCGAATTACATGGAATGGAATGGTCATATCGTTAACCCGCCCCATCCACAGGTACCTGTACGCGGGTGCAATGCCAACGCTACTCCGGAAGGCTTGCGGGGTTCCGTGTATGAGATAGCAAAAGATCAACATGGATGTCGATTTCTTCAGCGTTTATTAGGAGGACCAAACGGGGATGGGGAAATTGTCCGTGTTATTATGAACGAAATTGTCCCACATGTGGCGGAGCTGATGACAGATCAATATGCCAATTTTCTTATCCAGAAACTCTTTGACATTATGCCTCAGGAGCTGCGTTACAATGTCGCGCGCGTTGCAGCTCCCAAACTTATATCCATAGCCCTAACACCGCATGGAACATTCAGTGTGCAGAAAATGGTTGAAACCATTTCCTCACGTGAGGAGATAGATATTCTTCGGGAAGCTCTGTCAAAAGATGTTGTTCGCTTGATAAAGGATGCACATGGAAATCATGTCATTCAGAAGGTGTTGCAACGGTTCAGTTACGCGGATAAAGACTTTATTTATGCGGCGATTGGGTCAGACTGCATTTGTATTGCAAAGAACAAGCAGGGATGCTGTGTGCTCCAGCGTTGTCTTGAGTATGCGTCTGCTTCCCAAAAGGCAACGCTAGTGGACCAGATTATTCGCTGCTGCCTTCAGATAGCTGAGGATCCTTTTGGGAACTATGTTCTTCAGTACGTTCTGGAGTTTAAGGACAGTAAAACGACAGACACGATTGCAATTGCATTTCTTCCACACTTAGTTCAACTTTGCATGAATAAATTTAGCTCCAATGTGATCGAGAAAGTGTTGCGTGGAGCCTCACAGTCTGTGCAAGAGATGTACGTAGAAACCATGTGTTCCCCCAATGTTGTTTCTCGACTTATTCAGGACGATTACGGTAACTACGTGCTTCAAACCGCCCTTACTATATGTTCGGCGGCCCAGGCAGAGTCACTTGTCTCCGCAGTTCGCCCTCTTATGCCCACCATTAGAAATGCTCCATATGCGAAGAAGTTGGAGGGGAAACTTGATGATCTTGTTCAAAGGACTGCTGGTATCGACCGTGTTTCTGCTGTTGAATACGATAGCAACCACCAGGAGGACATGATGGGGCAGAGCTACGAGTTGCTGTCATCGCAGCATGACCACTAGTTTGCCAGTGCGTCATGGGTGACACCCCACCAGCAGAACTATGCTGTTAACATTTTCGAATGCTGCATGAATGGGCCTGCAGGCGTTGACGTGGCTGTACAGTCTATGCGTGTGTGTGTGGAGGGGGCGGAGTGTTGCCCTCAACGAAAAAAAACAAAAAACAAAAAAAAAAGAATGCGTATTAACATAATAAGGGCGTGAAGAAGAAAACAAAAAGAAAGAACAAAGTTCTGATTTCCGCTTCGCGTTGACAAGAGGAATAATCCGGTGTGGAGTGGGGCACTTGTATACTCAAGAAGCGGAGGGAGGCGACGTAACATTCAATTAAAGGAGAGATAAACGGGAAGAGAGAGAGGAAAAAAAAAGAAGGCACTGACGAGAAGCACACTGAAAACTAAAAAGAAAAAAGAATGTAAAATAAGACATATTTAGCCAGCACAAATAAATTAAAAGGATATATATAATACATATATATATATATATATATGAACAAAGGAATATTTGAGCATTGTGTGTGGGTGAGTGGTGTATTTTGCGGCAGCGACGCTGAAGCTCAATAAGAGACCTGAAGTCACGAGAGAAGTTGGGTGTGCTCGTTTGCGTGTATTATTTGTTTCCACGCATCACCGCCACCTCCCCTTTGTGGGATGTCAACGTGGAGGGTGTGACGCAATCCGTGCACCTGATCGGGGGTGTATGGGACAAACTGCATTTATGACTGCCACTATTTTAGTGCTTATCATGCTTGCTTTTTTTGTTTTTGCTTTTTCTTTCCTTTTTACTCGCTTGTGTGTATGTTGAAGAAAAAAAAAGTTTGAACCTTGTAATATTTGTGAAGTAACAAAATTGGGAGGAAAAAAAAAACAGCGAAGAGGATAAATCGACTTTCAGAAGGGACGTCAAGCTGCAGTGGGTGCGATTGCGCCGTCTTTGGCTCCGCAGTTTTTTATCTTTTTTTTTTTTTGTTTTCGCTTTCAGTTCCTCTTTCTTTATTTGCTTGTGTCCCTGCACGTATTTAATGTGTGTGTGAGAAAGAGGAATAAGGAAGGGGATATCAGTTTGTCTGTAAGGGGAGGGCTTGAAGTGCTTGAAGAGGAGAAGCGGGTGTCTTTTGATTACATGATTATTTCCTTCGTTCTGCGTGCCCATGTGGAATGATGGGGAGTGTGATGGCAAGGAAAAGATGATGCAGATATGCTTCATTTATGAGGTCGTCTTGGTCGCTGCTGCAAGCGGCTATTGTGTCGCTGCGAGACTACAGAACAGAAAACTCTGCAGAGATGTGACACACTTATCTGTCCCCGTGTATGTGGCGATGATGGGGACTATCCCGTTGTGCATTCCTTGGGGAGCTCCCCTATCCCGGTTCCGTACTCACCTCTGGAGTGAGAAACATGATATCAGGTATTTTTTGAAGGCGGACCGTACCCGTGGCATTACTGGATTGCTGCTTCGGCCTGGTTGTGAATAGAAACGGAGCGCGATGCGGTGCTGGTAGAGCACGACTGTGTTTGCCGCTCCAGTCACCGTCGGCATCCGATGGTTGTGTTCAGAATTCATGGGCTTTGCACACCACTATGGGGTTTTAGAGTTTGAGGTATTGCTAAACAGATTCCACAGCCTTTGGTGTAGTTATTGGAAGCTGCTAACGAAGCAGCAAGTTCAGTGGGTCTTCACACTTTAACCCCTCTTTTCGTGTGTATCTATGTGTGTGTTGTTGTTTGGGAGCTACTTACGCTTTGTTTTGCATTCTCTCTGTGGTGTCAACCGCTTCTGTGAAGGCCTTGACGATTTGTTAGTGGTGTAGGTGGGTTGTGAGTTTTATTCCATTGTTTTCTATGCGAAGCGTACGTACTACAAGCCGCTGAACCATACACAATGACTTTCTTTCTTTCTTCAATTGCGCTTTTGGTGGTTTGTGGTAGACTTGCGTCTCCTCACCGTTGTCACACTCCCATTACACTAGAGGTGGGGGCGGGGGGTGGGGGGACCATGGCGTGGACGGCGAGTCGTGTTGAGCGAGTTCTAAATGGGATTGCTTCACTCCACATAAAGAGGGATACCGACTGTGTGGAGCGTCTGCAACGAGAGAATGAGCGATTGAGTAATGAATTGGCTGAAATGGAGCGGATACACACTGCAGCAATACAGGATCTTTCTGAGAAGGGGTCAAAGATGGAACAGCTGATGCGGCAGCTTTTATCCGAGCGAAGTCGCCTGACAGCGGATTTGGCGCAGATGCGTGAGGCAAAAATTTCTCTTGAAAAGAGACTCAATTTAAGGTTCTCCTCAACGGACGCTTTGATGAAAGCTGATCTGGCTGTGCAAACAGATGCGTTGAGCCCGCTTGCTCTTTTCAACGAGCAGAGTACACAAATGTTTCAGGATTTGGGGAATGTGGCTGTGCAAACAGATGCATTGAGCCCGCTTGCTCTTTTCAACGAGCAGAGTACACAGACGTTTCAGGATTTGGGGAATGTGGCTGTGCAAACTGATGCATTGATCCCGCTTGCTCTTTTCAACGAGCAGAGTACACAGACGTTTCAGGATTTGGGGAATGTGGCTGTGCAAA